ATTAAACAGTACACAAAATGTTTACTAATTTATTAATCTTGTTATTTTTAACATTCAAATTAAACAAATTAATTTTACTGGATAAACTATTAATTATATGACATAAGTTATGAAAAAATACACAAAAGTACTAGGCTAAATCGAAAATTTTTGAAAATATTAAAAATCTCCTCTTTATTCTACCCGTTTGCAACATCACTTTTGAATATTTTTTATGACCAGTTCTAAAATGTTTGGAGTGTAATTTCCCTGGAAGCCTCAGCTATTTTCTCTCTCAGTTCTTAACATTTAATGTAAGAAAATGTAAAATGATAATTTAATATTAATATTCTCATTTATTTGTAGCATCGTTTTCGATTTTTTTCTTTTTCTTTGGGTATTTTGCCACCAGTGAAATATTTTTAAAAACCAGTAAAATATGCCCTTGCGTCAAGGTTATTTTTATGAAAATAGTTTTGCCTAACCAAAAATACATAATTAAGATTACGTAGCATATTATATAGAGATATGGAACAAATACTAGGTTTCTAGTGAAGCCTAAAAATATTAATATGAATATATTAGACAAAGATAGATAATAAATACTAATACGAATTTAAGTGTGGAAAATATTGATCCAAAATAAAATCCCTCTCTTATAAAAATATATTGAGATGAAATCAAATTATTGATAGCAATTTATAAGTTTAATTAAAATTTTACTTGAATAAGACACGATGAAGAGAAAAGTTTGAAATGATTGTTGTAAAACTAAAAATATTTGAGTAAAAAAAAATGTTGGTATTAAATAGGTTATTGTGAATTATTATCGGAGAATCGTATTACTAGAGCAGAATAAATTTCAAAGATTCAAGTATAAAAAACATTATCATTTTGGTTAAATAGCGTACATGCTAAAGGTATTATTGGAAAAACATAATCAAAACTAATTAGTAACAGCAAGTGACATATAGCAAACAAAAGCTAAAATACAATAGTTTTATTTAATAGTAGTATTATGAGTAAGAAAAATAAGTATCAAGAAATATTAATGTCTAAAGTAAAATTTTATATATCAGTAGGATTATAATGTCAGTGAAATGTCAAAAATAAAGTTGGATTCACAAGTCATAAAATATTACATATGAAATTCAAATACAAATATAGAAGTAATGAATATTTTGAAATATAAGTCAACATTTTTGTAAATAAACTGGAATGTGATTGTAAAATTGTAAATTATAAAGTGAAGTGAAGTGAAGTGGAAAAAAATCGGAATTTAAAAGAACAGGCATATATGTGAAAAGGCCCTAACAAGGAAGAAAAAATCAAGAGAGTAGGAAAAATAAAAATTGCTAAGATTATTGACTAGTTACGAAAGAATTTGTCAGAGGTGTTGAAAAGAAGTAAAGTGGGAAAAACCCATATAAATAGAAATAATAATGGTGGAAAATAGTAAGATAATTAAAGTTAGTCAACCAGTATAAAGAAAATTTAAAGTTGAGCCAAAAAAGGATTCAAAAGTCCAGTCTCTTATAAAGGACTTCAATAAGAATCCAGCACGAAATTCCAGACGCATAAAAATAAGCAGTAGGTTCCGACTATCCAGAAATCTCAAGAAAACGAGGTTTACAGGACGATATTCCAGACGAATAAAGTAAGCAGCAGGTTCCAGCTATCCAGAAATCCCAAGAAAACGAGGATTACAGGATGAGATTCCAGACGAATAAAGTAAGCAGCAGGTTCCGGCTATCCATCAATACCAAGAAAACGAGGATTCAGGAACGAGATTCCAGACGCATAAAGTAAGCAGCAGGTTCCAGCTATCCATTAACTGCAGGAAGACGAGGATTCCTGGACGATATCCAGGCCGAGTATAAGAGGACAAGCAGTTCGATAATAAAAATTGACAAGATACACGTAGAGCGTGGCGTGTTGTTTGGTTTTCTGCAGAGTTTTAACCTCACTTGAACTCACTACTGAGAAGGGTCGAAAGCTAGCCAGGGTATAATTGACAACTTAAATTACAGCAAAAACATATACACAACAGGATCATTATTATATTAATTACACAAAAAAATCACATACACATACATATTACTACTCATAACAATATTGGCGCATACACATAATTATTTCTATCCATAACAATATTAAGCTTTCGTTGGTAGATAAAAACGATTAAATAAAAAATAAACATGAAAAATTGGAATTAGTATAATGTAATAAATAAATGCATGCTCCTTATAAGATTAGGTATTCATTAATAGACTGTTAAATAATGTTTCCATTTATGTTCGTTTTGATTGATTGCCGCAGATCAATATCTGAGCTATTTCTTTACGTTTCATATAATTGAAGATTGGAAATCCAAAACAGTCTAAGTGCCAAAAAAATAGTTTTGAAATAATTAAGAGAAATACATTAAAACATAAAAAAAAACAATTTTAATCGTATTATATCAAACCAAAGAAACACTGAAAAATTTTTAAAAAAGCTATATGCTAGTTTGTAGAAACGATTGAAACTAGGAAAGAAAGAAAAGTCTAAGTGCTACCTGCATTAATATACATACATGCAAAAAAATTTAAGGACCATACAGGTGTTGAAAAAGTCTATGTCAAAAAGTGAAGTTTTGTCTAACTCTAAGATAGTATAATATTAAAATATATATATCTAACGTATTCTAGAATATTGGAAAAAAACTAATCTCATCATTGAAGTTTGGCCTTTTCAATTAAATTATCCCAAAAATTAAGATGTTTTAGAGGAATGTAATCTAATATATCTTCCAGGTTTTTAAGTTTTTCTGCGATTTTGCTAATAGAGGTAGATCATAGCCCAACAGCAACTCTATATCCGCACCTTTTTTTAAAACGTTGCAATGAATCCATTCTTCCAATGCATTCAATCATGTCCTCATTTTAACTATAGATGGTTCTTGTTTGTTAATCAAAATCCATTACGCTTGTGAAATGGGAATCTTTTTAGCTTGAACTAAATTAAACTAAACTAAACTAAAACTTGAACTAAAGCACCTTTGTAATTTGTATGTTGAAGACCACTGACTTTTAAACGTTTTCGTTCAGTTTTCTTTTCTTTTTTCTTTTTTCACTAGCACAATGTGTATCATGCCCATCAACTTATTCCTTCCTTTTCCAAAGAATACAAACTGAATGGCACATAGACGGTTTTTCCTTGTACCACTCACCATTAGCTGGAAGGCACTTAGACTTTTTTGTATAACAATGACGATGACACAGACTATAAAATCAGAAAAATCCAAAAATTTATATATTTGGCACTTAGACGCTTTTGACACTTATAGATATGTAGATTTACTTTGTTGTCAATTGATTATCTATATTTGACCATTAACTGAACTTAAACCAGATCTGATCGAGTCAAACGAACACCGGATTCAGATTCGGCGACTCCAAAAACGTGTAGATACGTACTTAGGTTTAGTTTGTTGACAATTGATTTTCTACATTTGACCTTGAACTGATCTTAAACCAGAGCTAATCGTGTCAAACGGACACCGGATTCGGAATCGGCGATCCCAAAAACGTGTAGATACATAGGTTTAGTTTGTTGACCATTGATTTTCTACGTTTGACCTTCAACTGACCTTAAACCAGACTTAATCGCGTCAAACGGACCCCGGATTCGGATTCAGCGACCCCAAAAACGTATAGATACATAGGTTTAGTTTGTTGACAATTGATTTTCTATATTTGACCTTGAACTGACCTTAAACCAGAGCTAATCGTGTCAAACGGACACCGAATTTGGATTCAGCGACCCCAAAACCATGTGGATACCAAGGTCTTGTCTTTCGGACCTCCCACTTTTTTTTTGTGGGGCAGTGTAATTTAAGTTTAAATATTAGTAAATGTGAAACAATGACCTTCTCAAAGAAAATAAATGTCATACTTTACGATTATAATCTAAATTAATCTATGAAAATGTTAGGATTTATATTTCGAAATACTAAGCAGTTCTCTAGTATCGACTGTTTAAAAGCTTTATATCATTCATTTGTAAGATATCGTCTTGAGTACTGTAGTATCGCTTGGAGTCCACATTATAATGTTTATATAAAACTGCTTGAGCGTATTCAGCGTAAATTTTGTAAATACTTATTTTTTATAAAACATAAAAGATATCCAGACCAAAATTATAGTTACAACGATTTATTAAAAGAGTATGATATAGGTACAACCTTTGTTTATACGCAGAAAAATTGCTAATATAAGATATCTTTACAAACTTATACATGGACAACTAGATAACTCAGAATTTTTAGAACAAGTACAATTTAATATTCCTAGAATTGGTGCTAGATATTGTCCGTCCTTTAAATTTAACATTCCTCACCATAATCTATATTTGAACTCTCCTTTACTTTCTATATGTAGACAGTATAATGAAATACAAATGTTTGCTAAAAAAAAATTCTAAATGTAGAAATGTCCAGAATTGTTAATTTATCCTGAAATTTGTTGTCTGTTAAACTACTTGAATATAAAAAAGGCTTTTTAATAAAGCCATAGTTATTAAGTTGTCACATAACTTGATTTCATACTACATAAAACAAAATTAATTTATATTTATAAAAGCAGTAAAATTTAGCTATTAATCTTAATCTAATCTATTTACTGAAGTAAACGAAAAACAACTCTCAAGGATCATACCACTTTAAACGGCCCATATTTATTGTCGGCAAGATAAAATGCGACATGAAAAAAATCTTTTTTGAACCTCTGCAACAGATGCGATCCGAAACTCAAACAATGCGATTATCAGATAAACCTAATAAAAAATACTACTTAACTTTCATAGGCTCTCAGCCCCTTTTCATAAGCATTCGTCGGCCTACTGTAATTGAATTACAGGACAAGCTGAAACTGGGGCTGATTCTGCACTCCCGATTGGCCGAGAGCTCCGTGACTCCTCCCTGGGGTATCCCCCTTTGAAAAAGGCACCATCTCCCTAACAGGCGACTGAAAACGCTCAGTTTGAACGGAAACGTTGTGTGATGTGTGTTAAGTTTTTCGAAGGACCAACGTTTACGTCGATTCAGAACAGATAAGTTGTGTTCCTGTGACAGACTCAGTGAGCGATGAATGATTCTGCCATTCCCTCAGTGTTCTCAAGTATGATGCCCTTCGACTCGATAAGCCTCTACGAGCAGCCCAAGCCCAGATTTATTTTCAAAATGCCCCGGGTGGTGCCCGACCAAAAAGCCAAATTTGAGTCTGATGAGCTTTTTAGGAGACTGAGCCGCGAGAGTGAGGTTGGTAGTAATTTTTTTTATATCAAGTACTCAAATGTATGCAGTCGATTTAATTTTTTTACGCAACTGTGGATGATGAAAAAATGGTGGCATAAGTAATTAATTAATTAGTAATTAATTGTAAGTATATCCATATATGTAAGTGTATAAGTATAATTAATTAATTAATTTAACAAAAATATCAGCCTATAAACATTAAAGTACCTAAATCTTTTTACCTACGAGTAGTACCTATACCTACACAAACCGTATTTAATTTAGTTTCTGTCGATTCTACAATCAAGTGTTGTTTTTCTATACGATAATTCTGAAACAAAAATATTAAATCTAAATACAGTCCAAATTACAACCTTTTTCTATAACTTTTTTTAATATTCTTCGTACATTTCGTCAAATATTTTATTTTTATTTTTAAGATACCTATAGTTTAAAATAATGTTAAAGCAAAGTTTACAGAATAAATATTCTGTAAACTTTGGTTAAACATTAGAACAAATTAGTTTATTCATTAGTTTCCACAAGTTTGATTTATTGATTCTTTCCCGTTAAAGTTATTACTTAGTTTTTTATTTGTAATTATTTATTTATGGCACTTTTTATTACTTTTTGTATTTAATTAGTTTTTTCTGCCTCACTGAAACAAAAAATTAACTTTATATTAATAAGCCTTTGTGCTAAAAGTATTAGCCAAGTAGTAGATTTTGTAAATTTGGTTTTGTCCAACCAGAAATATCTGGCATGACAAGTGAAGATTACGAAAATCTCTGTTTTTGTTCCTAAAACTTTTATTAAATTTCTCTAATCCGTGACTCATAATAAAAAATAAATATCACATTTGATTGTGTCATAAAAGGATACGCCTACATATCTGTGACTTTTTTTAAATGGAAACCTTATTATATCCAAATTTATGCGAATAATGAAGAAAGTCGATAAAATAATAAATATTTGTAACATTCATTTGCGGTATCTTTTTTTCTGAGCGAAATGAAAAATGAAATTTAAAAACGTAGGCACAGGTCGTGTTGTGCACGTCATTAAGTCAAATACTTTTACTGTGAAAAAAATCTAAGAAGATGCATATAGCTCAAAATTGCAAATCCATAGCCTGTTATGATTTTTTATTAAGTGCCAATGTTTGAAATGATGTATGTAATGTTTTTTATCCGGAATCTAATTTATAAACAAAGTAACACCAGGTATATTTTCAATTATTTCTGAATTAAAATCGAAATGGTCAATTTTGCACTTTTGCAGGAATAATTTACATATTTTCCTGTACATTATCTCCTTAACAACGCAATAATCCAAGCCAAGGAATATCGAATAACATCATGTTATCAGATTTCCAATAAAAAATTACTGCTACAATTTTTCTAAAATTGGTGCCTACCTACTCACTTAAAAGTCGTAGTAAATTTACAGTTTTACAATCGTGACAAATAAGTTATAATCTCCAAATATGCAAGTCTTTTTCATTGATTTCATAAAAAATATTTGAACTTATTTGAATTTATTTAACCATGCCCATGGCACCTCTAACTCGGAACATCCTGTAGATAAGAACACATTTTAAAATTAAACATATGCTGCGTTATATAAAATCATGTTTTATTTTTGCGATTTTGAATTTTGTTCTTTATATTTCAAGACAATAAGTATCAATTGTAAAATAATGCCATTGATTCTTTCATTTCTCTTTTTTTTTATTAATATTAATAAGTGTGTTATTCATCTACTTTTTATTGTAGCATTATAATTTATTTGTACAATATAAAAAACACATTAGCTCCTGTATTTTTTTTTATTATAAAGATATTAAGATAACTCAAACAGTTTTAGAAAAAAGAAATTGAAATAATTTGGAATAACCTAATACCTTTATAATAAAGCAGAAAAACCTAATACTCTGTGTGATATACGCAATACGAATGCATAATAACCATTTGACGTTTAAAAATTTCCGAGAAATCATTCAGTAGGAGTAGAATTATAATATATCTTTTCTTTGTACTTATATAAAAAGAGGAATATTGCATTATGTAGATAATTAGGTATATTTATAATGAACACAAATGTGAATTAATTTAATGATTTTTCAACCTTTCGATACTAAGTATTTGGGATTATACGCTAAATTACATCATTGCAAATTCATGGAAAATGACAGTAAATTTTCCTCGTAACTTATTTTAATAAGTTACGTCACTCTTGCAAATAAACGATGTTATTAAAATGGCCAAATAATCATTTTTTCAGTTTAATAATATGCCGATTTACGTAATATACAGAGTGTTACAAAATTATGCAAACAATCATGTCGGTTAGGAGAAAATTATACACAAAATTTCAACCGGATGACTTCCCCAAACGCTACGTGATTTCGGCACATTAACACAATGTTCAAGTGATATATCTAACTTTGGCGTTGCGACTATGTATTTTTAATAAATGAAGCTACTCATATGGCGCCATATTAATTACAAGGATAGACTTGCAATGTGTTGGGGTCGGTCGAAATTTCTTTAGATGTTAAGAAAATATACAGGGTGATTTACTGTTTAAGATTAGGACTTTGACCATCGATAGATCTTGTCAAAATAATGTCATTTTAAAGTATACACTTTTTCTTCCAAATGCTTCCCTTTAGAGAAATAAGCTCTTGAAGAAGCATTTTTTTTGGGTTGTATTTATTTTTTCTTAAACTATGAAAGTCATTTGTTTTATACATATTTAGTATGAAGTGTGCGAATGAAAAATGCGTTCCATCATAGGCGTCCGTAAGGAGCTCTGATAACCCCGATTTTTAATATAATTTCTACGCCACTGAAATTTTTTCAAAATGAATATAATATAATACATTGGTTAAAATCCTAATCATAAAAAGTGAATCAGCCTGTATATGCTCGCATGGAAGCAATTTATTTTGATATTATGTTGATGCCATGTGGCGAAGGTATTAATAAAAATCGTTTTCTGAAATGCCACTTTGACGTCGTTTATCTAAAAAAACCAGCGACTCGGTGAAAAATGGCATAAGTAAGTCCCATTTTTTAGCTCTAAAGATTTGTGGTTAACGGCTTGGCCAGCTTTTTTTCTAACACCCTGTTTATATGCGTTTATATATCTTTATTTTTTAATGTACCTACTTACTGATTTTTATTGATTTATACATAATTTTTTTTCTTTTTTCGTAATTTGCAAGGTATATAATAAATAAAACAATTTACCTAAGTTCGAATGTGTCCAAATGGAAGGGGAACAATTTATTCTATATAAAATTCTACTACCTAACTTATATTAACTTTGACTTGAGAATATCTAAATATATTTCAAAATATTTCGGATGAAAAATTAAATACTTCAGTCAAAAATATACATATGTTCATTTTGAAATAATCATATCCTAAAAGGATAAACCTAGGATTTTTAAATAGCGAGAAAATATATACTTAAAAAAACTAATCGAGATATAAAATGAGAAATATTTTTCCATTTTGCTACTTGTGAAAAATCAAATGGATAATTCTTTACGCCAAAAAGATCAGGCAAGTGTTGTTTCTATAAAACTATTTTTGTTTTACTACACATATTAAAGCAAATAAAAAAAATGCACAGAGTTATTCAAATAAAATTTTGCCTCCTTATATTTGTTGCTTTCATATTTAGAAAAAAATGGTAAAAGCCAAAGTTGAGCAAATTTTCTTGTGATAACAAAACTGTACCTAGAAAAATAATTGAATATTGCATTTCGGAGGTACAAGACAAACATTTCTTTTTGGCAGAAAACTCTGTACATTTTTACATATTTTGAAATAATATTTACTCAGGATTACAAGGTTCAAGAGATCTATCTCTAATAATAAGGAAGATCTGGCCATAAAAGTATCCTAACATTAAACTCTTTAGACTCTTTGGGCCATATAGTTCTTATTTTTAGAGATAGATCTATCAAACTTTGTCGCTGTAATGTTAAGGAAGTGTTCTATTTAAATATACAGGGTGCTCTGTCAAAAATTATAAGTTTGGTTTGTATCTTCGAAATGCAACCAACATAGTAGTAGTTTTTCTAAATACAGTTTTGAAACCACAAGAAAATTTCCCATAACTTTGTCCCATACTATTTTTTAAGTACCTACAAAAACAAAAGAGATAAGGAGGATAGAAGCTTAAAAAACTGCCACTTTTATTTTCAAAATTTGAAATTTATGTGATGACAAGATCTTTCATTTTTCCGTTTCCAGTAGGATTTTTATTAGACAGATTCAGTGACAAAGTACAAACAATTTCGAAAATAAATCATTTTGTGATCTACGCCACTGCGTTAGTCAAGCGTGAAGCCCATCACATCTGTATCTAACACGGACAGGTACAAATACTATACTGAATGAAGGAGTCTCTCAGAAGACCTTGTGACAGTAACCCGTTCCCGTACACACATTTAACAGTCCTTGTTTACAGCGAAAAGTGATGAAAACAAATTCGGGGAAGTGAGCTGTGACTGTGCCGGACATACTTGGGATTTTTACTCAATTCCCCTTATAGGCGCTGCCTAGTTATGAACTATTATTGCAATAAAACACTTGTTAAAATACAGTACGACGTGAGGCATAAACTGAGGGTTAGTAAACGACGTGCAGTCATCAGTATTCCGCTACTGTACGGACAAGGCAAACCCATATATTTTTAACGCGAACAATGCACAGGTCTGTTTTTAGTAGACACACCTTAATATTTTAATTGTCGCCGTGCTGCAATAACAATCCGGAGAAGGTGCCTTTGACTTGAAATTATAATCAGACGAGGCGATGATATTTTTCTCTTTTCCGCAACAGACAACCACAAACTGTTTAAATTTTTTTCTACCAACTTGCTTTAAATATAACTTTTTCGCGTTATTGTGAATATTCACGCATAAATTGTTTGGAACAGTAATTTTATTTCCTTCACGTTTTGTAAAATTGAAACAATAAGATCAAGATTATACATTAAAACACAAC